TGTGCAACTTCCTCTCAGAAACAGCAGCAGCCGCACTCGATCAGAGGTCGTGCAGATCAAATGCAAGGGGCGCCCCGGGGTCCGTGCAAAGTCTGCTTCGTGAGGTGTCAGCTGAGCCAGGGGAGCCAGAGAAGCCGCGTTGGGGAGGGGTGACCATGGATAAGGCATCAATTTGAGGACAGGGATGCCTTCATAGCGACCGAGATGGTGAATTTGGTCCCTGGCGGGCAAATGCCACATTGTGGGCACCCGTGTGGGTGCCGAGGAGGGAAGTGAGAGGTTAGCTGGACAGGCGAGAGCCGTGACGTCAGGGAGGGTCAGGCCCCGGGCCAAGTTCCTTCCTCACTCTCTTTATGTCAGGCCTGTTGTCTCCTGCTCTTGGCACAGCCCTTGTCCTTCCTTGGTGCCACCCAACTGTGACATCGGAACAGTCTCTGATGTTGGTAACAGGACTGTTCCAAGAGCACGGGCTCGGGAGACCCACGCGGCTGCACAGAGCGGTGAGCCAGGCGGCCGCGGTCCAGCAGAGATTTGGAAATGAGGAGCTAAGCCCCGGGCAAGCTCAGGGGTGGGGGACACACAGCGATGGCTTCGCACGAAAATTAGCTTCCTCAGCTGTTGGAGGTCAGAGCAGCGGGGCCACTTGGGGTCACTTTCCTGGAAAACGTAAACTGAACAATATGGTCCAATATCAAGCATCGCCCGGCCCCTCAAGGACTGAGCTGTAAAGCACACGTGAAACCGAGGTTGCACCAAAAAACAAGGGTTTTGGTCTTTGCTTCTTTTGAGTCCTAGTGCTGTTCCTCAGAAGGAGCTGTGGCAGGTTTTCTAAATGGCTTTTAAGCATTTTTAAGGGTTCGGTTCTTAGAAATGGCATCTGTCCCCTTCCGACGTCATCTGACTCTTAAACATTTGCTTCTACAGGGACGTATGTGAAAGATGTAGCTCATCTTTTAAGAAAAAAATCACCATGTTTGATTAATGTGTGAACGTTTCCACATCCTACAGTCATTGTAATGGTTCATCTCACAACAGGGATCGTAAAAAATAATATTATTTTGTGTTTTTCATATTAACCAAAATATTCAATGGGAAACAATCATTTGTAGAATGTCCGTTTTAAAGTTTACAACCCAAACTGACATGAATTAAGTTGTTCAACCAGTATTTACTGAGCACGTGCCCTAGACACCAGCTATCAAAGACCTGCTCACTGTGGAGAGGCTCACAGCCCAGCGAGACAGCTGTCTGAGGACTGAGGGATTGAGCCTGGAGACCTCAGTTTAGTGCCTAGTTTGGCCCCTCACAGCTCCAGACAAGAAGACCACCCGCCCGGGGCGGCCAGATTCGAGGGCTGCGTGTGTGACTCCACCCTGGCCTGGGCCTGGGCCTGGAGTCGGCAGCCAGATGTTAGCGGGATGACACCGGGCATGAAGGAAGGAACATTGCAGGGACCTCCTTCACAGGCCCTAGTGAGGGTAGGTCGTCACTCGTTCTGCGTATTGTCAGCAGCCCGTAATGACCAAAGCTAAAGGCCACTGAGCGCCTGCCCCGCGCCAGGCCCTTGACGAGCTCGTCCCGTTCATTATTGTTCCAGCCTCCCAACCGCCATGATTCCGTTTTACATTCGGGGAAACTGAGGCTCAAGGCTTCAGCAAAATCAGGGGAGCCTGAGCTAGGCATCGACCCTGAGGTTCCGTTGCGTCTCGCCAGGCCCTCGTTCTTCAGGAGCGGGCCCTTCCGCAGGGGCGCGGACGGAGCACCCTGGGCCCACCACTCCTGCTGTCCGCAGGACTCGAGCCCGGAGTCCTGGGGGCTCAGGAGCAGCACCCAAGCCAGCTATCAGCAGGGAGGCAGCGGCGACCCCGAGCAGCTTCGCAGTGACTAGCGGGGTCATGTCAGCACATCGCTGTCCCCAATTTTACATAATCAGATAATTTTGAAGAAATGAACAGTGATGACCTTTTCGGTAACTGAGAGGCTGGGCCTGGGCAGGTGTTGAGGCCATTTTCCTAAGGGTTTTGAGGACCACTGGCAGGCAGCAGAAGGGGGGCGGGCACCTCCCAACCCACCTCTCCGGGTGGGACAGACGCCCAAACCAAACAAGCAGAGACGATGGGTTCAGCCCCAGAGACCGCCCGGGCCCCGTNAGGCCATTTTCCTAAGGGTTTTGAGGACCACTGGCAGGCAGCAGAAGGGGGGCGGGCACCTCCCAACCCACCTCTCCGGGTGGGACAGACGCCCAAACCAAACAAGCAGAGACGATGGGTTCAGCCCCAGAGACCGCCCCTCCACCCGGCAAAGACGGCCTAGAGAACTGAGAGCAGAAACCAGCCACAGACAAGCTCCCTGAGCGTTTGCTTGTATAAATAATTTATTTCTGTTCACAGCATCATATAGGCATATAAAAGGGAGCGGGAACAGGAGGGGAGGGTGATCGAGACAGAACTGTAGCAGTAGAAATGAAAACAAACCAGGAGACACAGTCCCAACCCCAGGACAGAGGGTGGGTGAAGGGAATTGTCCTGCGGCACAGCCGGCCCCCCCGGGTCTGTGAGGGAACACCCCGAAAGCTCCCACGGGGAGGCCCACTTCCTCTGTGTGGCACCCACTCCTTCACCCAAGGGCGGGAGGCACCCTAAACCACCGACCACGTTGGAGGGGACCCCTGCGGGCTGACCGCTCCAAGGGGATGTGGTCTGTTTGCTTGGAGATAAAATGGGATATTTATTAGGTTGAACGTTACAGAAATCAACTGAGACTCTTAAGTATTAGTTGAGACACCACAGGGTTTTACTTTACTACACAATTACTAACAGCTGACTGCACCCTTTAAGCATCGATAATGCAAAAAAGAAAAAAAAAGAAAAAGACCCCAAAATCATTTCGCATCATTTGTAAAGCACGGCAGGACCTGAACAGTGATCATGAGCCTAAGAATCGTGAGCACGAGAAGGTTCCAGTATTTGGCATCTGCAATGTCACAAAATAAACGTATTATTCTCGCAATAGTGTGGAGCTACCAAAATGTCAAAGTGCTTAAGAAATTGTTGTGTGTGAAGAAAATAAAGAAGATGGATTTTTTTTTTTAATAATTCTATACAGAATCCTCAGACGATGGGACCAGCCCATGTAGAGATGAGTGACGATGCTGTCGATGTGTAAACGGAGACCTCGCGGGCCTTGCAACACTGCTTAGCTATACTTTCTCTACTGAGTTTCTACAAAAACGACCACCACCGGAGGGGTGCCAAATACACCGACAAGAGAGAGAGGCGGATGGGCTGCTAGGCTCCTTCCTTCAGAATATCTCAGGACAATGGGCATGGACTTATCCTCTGAGTAACCCGCAGCTCCAGCATGACCGTACCCGATGTCTATAGGCCCCCCTTTGTAAATTAATTTATAACAGTGGGGGGTGTGTGTGTGTAATTCTACCTGTGAACATGGATTCGAAGGAGAAATAAAAATCAAACGGTAAGCTTAGGTTTCCCTTCCGATACTGTGTTTCGGGGTAAATGACAGCTTTTGCCAACCAAGACTCAGTCCTGATTATATAGGATTTCTTTAAATTTCATTATTAAAAATATCTATTCTTTCACTTTATCTTCCAAAGCCTCTTTCAAGTACACGGTCTAGTGCGGGAGCACAGGTGACCATGACGTCACACG